CCCCAAAACCCCAAAACCCCAAAACCCCAAAACCCCAAATGAAAGGATATCATAGAAATTGTAATAATTTATTAAAAATGGAACGCCAGAATTTTAGAATTCCTGCTTGGGACAACTTTTCACGACGATATGAAGAGAAAAAGACACCAAAGAGTCCTAGATTTAAGGTCACTGACCTCTTCAGGACTCAAGAATCATTAAGAGTAAACCAACGGTACTGTGTTGAGCGTATAACTCCATTTAGAGAATGCAATAACACTACAGTTCAACCTTCTGGGCAAATGTCCAGGTTCTCTCCTCTAAGTATGGAAGGTAAAGTGCTGTTTGCCTCATATAGATTTAGTTTAGAACATTTGGTTATTTTCCTTAAATATTCTAACTATGAGAATTATGCAGAGTTTCTACTAGTTTAATCACCTAATATAGAGAATAAAATGGAATCCACTCAAAATTTACCTGACCTCAGTGGCTCGAATGGTGAGCCTAACACAAATCTCGCTATGGTGTCTCAAAATCGAACAGGAAGGAAACAACAATTAAAGAGGTAACCAAAATACCCCAAATATTTCTCGATGGCTCTAACCTTCGTGAAAAATAGCTCTAAGCAGCCTAGAGCCCTGACTGGAACTTTATTTAAACCACCTGGCTATTTCTGAAACAAAGTTTTAGACTTATATTCCCTATAGCTTGAGAAGGACGATACTTAAGAAATAAAGCTACCAAAAGGATGAATAGGGTCAAGAGTTTAGACCAAAAGTAAGCCAGGGAAGTCTGATGGTGAAATAGGGATGTAGAAAGCAAACAAAATGTAACAGCATCGGTTTTAAAAGCCCATAAAGATGTCATTAAGACTCTGATGAAGTAAGTTAGCAACTTAGAACGTCCTTGGATGTAACCCTACTATAGAGTCTTTTCCTCACTTAATAAATATTCACTCCAGACTAGTAGGATGCCAGACTCTTTTGATTTTATGAAGAAATTTGAGCTTGAGATACTCAGATTGCAGGAGTTTAAGAAGAAGTATTTGTCACCCATGAATCCATTTGCTAATGCTCCAGATATGGTGGAAAGATTTATCAGAAACTTTTATGCTCTAAAGTCCTTACAAAGTAAATAAAGGCCCTTTCGAATACTTCTTCGTCCGTCGCTGAGACGACCCAGATTGCTTCAGTAAAGATAATATTGGGAAATTGTGTCTCCATGCACATGGGAATCAGAAGATAAGAAAGAATTGAGGGTCGATTCCATTCAATGAAATCTTTCAGACTGTAAGTTATCAACTCTCTGGCTGCTCCCAGTTCTGGAGCTTTCCGACATGGGAGCTAACATCTGGGTGATCTGGATGGGTTCCAGGCTATTAGAATAGGATCCATAGGAATATTCCTGAATATATTTGTGGTAAATTCTGCCAATAATATATAATAATAGCCAATTTTTCAAAAGTTATTGGCTCATCTATGCCATTAACTTGCTTTGCAATTCAGCTTATTTTGAGTTCCTCTTAGAATTGAGATATTGGAAGTTTCACTTCACCTAGGTCTAAGCTTTGTGTGCTGAATTTTTAACTTCTATACCTTAATCAGTATTATAGTTCAAGACAAGGCTCAGCAAAGCTCAAAAGTACATTGATGATCTTAAGAAAGATATAAAAACTAATGCTGAGCTGTAAGTCTCATTGAATTTTGAAAGTTTTCATATTTTCTTTCATCTGTTGGACTTTCCTATGCTTAAAGAGCACACTTTGGGACTCTAAAAGGCTTGGCTACTCACTAAATTTAAGCTTTTATTGGTTATGCCTCAAGAAGGACCATTTCAGCCATTCTTCGGACCTAGACCATACTCTATCTATTAGTGGCCCTAAATTTAGCTTGATTGTTTTATGCAGAACGATAAGGTGCTGTAGGCATACCAATGTGGAGGATTACTATGTTTTAGATCAGAGAGATGCACCCAGGAATTATTATTCCCGAATACATTAGGAGTTAAAGTTTATGAGTAGTGATTCAGCATTGTTACTTATTTAAGCTCTTCATCTTTAAAATCCTGAGGAAGTTGAGTCATGTTCTCTAAATTATAATGAGATGAGTCTCAATTTGACATACCTTATTGCTACCAAGTTACCTTTGTTAGCTATATGTGTTCTCCCCAGATTTTCTTAAGGGGTGATAAATTTAAGATAAAAATTTGTTTAAAACAGTGCTGAGGGATTACTCTATCAATTAAGCTAAAGTCAGCTTAACCCAGTGGCATAATAATTATGACTTTGATCAGTCTAAAACTGATTTAAAGACTAATATTTTTGTTTCATATACCCAAGAAATCCATCGGTATAATCTACTTCATAGATCCAACCTCGTCAAGAAATTAAAGAACAAACTCAGGGAATTAAAAATACAGAAAGCTTTAAATACTTCATTGAAAGGTGATGAGGTTGCTCAAGCGATTGAAGAGAATAAAGAAATATCTATAGAAGTACAGGGTAAGATCAAAATCTAATCTTGCAGAGAGGCTTAAAAAGCATGAAGACCAAAGAGCTAAGCCTAAATTCTACCCTCCTTCTATAATAATCAAAGAAAGTTTGGAGCATTGTGACCACTGCTGCCTTGGAGATAAACAGAAGTGTAAGTTTGTGTCTGATCTTCAGGATTCCTTGAGAGATACTTCCACAAATACTATAACTTACTTGAGGCACTTGAGAAGCTACTTGTTTGCCCAATAACGTTGGAAATGATTAAGAAGCCAACAATCATACCATCAGGAAACCTTGTAGAAAAAAGAGTGGTGCAGAGATTAATAAGAGATGGGAAGGCAGATCCATTTAACAGAAGGCTGAGATTGGAGAAAGTAATACCAGACAGATTTGCTAACGCTGTTCTAGATCTATTCATCAATAATCTTCAATTTTAGCCATTAACTTGGGGTTTTGGGGTTTTGGGGTTTTGGGGTTTTGGGGTTTTGGGG